AATCACAAGGCTCACAATGCATTTATCATTTGCCTACCTGTTTGATTGTTTATAAATGAGCAAGAAATATAATTCTAAAGCATTCTAGAAGATTGCTTTTGTGACAATAATTATTTGAAATTGCATTCATATTAGTGGGTTTCTATGTTCTGTTTGAATGCCAGAATCTTCCAACGAAAGGCTCATGATGAGTTTAGCATTTGCCTACATTGTTTGACTGTTTACAAATGAGCAATAGATATAATTCTGAAGCCTCTTGTAAGATTACTTTTATGACAGTAATTATTTGAAACTGCTTTCATAACCATTATTCTAGTCCATTCTTTCCCATGATTAAATGTAATTGGTTGTGATTAGGTTGATCCAATTAGGTAAAATTCTTTTTGTTGTTAGTGGCAAAGGAAGTATTATCAGAAAAAATGAAGGGCAAAGTACAACAGAGGAGGATTAGGTGTCCTTCAAAAAATAAGTAAATAATGAAAAGGGAAATCCATGGGAGAAAGCTTTGCAACAAAACAAATAATGTTAATGGAGAACAGCGCCCAATCAACCTGAGCCGCTCAACCCAAAGGGGACCCAAAAAAATGATCATCTTAATCTCAAAGAAAGAATAGATGATGATTGAGATCATCAAAGATTGCATTTCTCTCCAATAAGACCCTCGCAAAATAACAAGTAATGTCCCACCTTCTGTAACGACCTATTCTCTTTTTTCTTTTCCCTTCCCAAAAGACAAGAGGTTATCAAGAACTTCAGGTTTGGAGGAACAACCCAAGGTGTCAATTAACTTTTAGACCAAAAGCATCCAAGCCATGTCAAATATAAGATGACTATGGAATCCCATCTTACAAAGGCAAGTGATACACACATCAGGGAAGAAAACACTATTGTACCTGCGAACTCAAAATAGATCACTACTGAGTCTGTTAAGAACCGTTGTCCAAACAAAACCTAGGGGGAGCAAAACATCTTCCAAAAAGAGAGACTGAAAACAACATTCTGGACAGAAGGATTTTGGGTCAAGAAGATAAAGAAAGAATTGAAGGTATATCTGCCCAACCATTTGCCTACTTACTGTCAAGGCTGGAAGAAAGAAAGACGATCCAAGAGCATGATGCAAAGAAAACCAATAGTCCATTATAGGATAACTAAGATATCTATGGAAGAAAAAGTTTTAAGAAAAGTGACTGTCAATGTGAATCTGGAAATATGAGATAGAGGATTGTTATGGGAAAGGGAAAGGTTTTAGAGGCATGCAAAATCGGCAACCAATGGGAGATAGCCAAGCCAATGGTCCTTCCAAAATGAAGTGCAGCCTCAAGAGATTAGCTTCCCCTGGGATCTCTGAGAAATAGAGACTGTCCTTTATGCAGCTTGAACTTACTCTTGATCAATGTGTCATGAAGAATGAGATTCCATAGAAAAAAGATAACCATTTTTACCATCAACAAGAAATTTTTACAGAGCAGCTTCTCAATACTCAAACCCTCCTCTTTTTTACATACCGGCTTCTCAATACTCAAACCGTCTTCGCTTAGGAGTACAACACATATTATCTGAGTAAATGATATATTGAGGACACATGCTCAGCAGATCAAATTAAATTCTTCATAACCCTCTCAAGACTCTTGATCACATCCTTGGGGATCTCAAAAAGAGAAGGATAATTTCAGAGATTATTCTAAAGATTGATTTGGATAAGATAATTCTCTCACTAATGGGAGAACAGAGCCGAATCGACAAAATCATGATGCCTAAAAATCATATGTGCCACCTAATCCCAAATGAAACTGCCTGGACTTACTCCCCTGCCCCAGCATAGCACCTAGATGGGTATAGACCAGCTGAAAGTATTACTAATGAATCAACTAAACCTCTTACTATATGACCATCCATATTAATACCGGCTATGCGACTCTTTCCTTGATTAATATGCAAACCATAGACATCTTCAAACAATTGCAAAATAGTAAGTACATTAAAAAAACTTAGCAGGCATGGGATAGGAAGAGAATAATGTCATTAGTCAATTGGAGATGAGAAATCTCCATCCCTCTGCACCCACACATAGACTTGTCAAGGAACTGCTCTCAATCGATATTCTACTCAAAAACATCCATCACAAGTGTAAATCAAAGAGTTAAAAAAACAAGCAAGAGAATCACCTTCTCTCAGTCCTCAACTCGACCACTAAATTAGGAAGAATCCTTAAGTATATATATGACAAAGATGTAGTTCTACCGTATTATGCATGTATCCTCCATTGTTTTCTTTGGTTTTATTTGCTGAGGCTATTGGTTTCTTCACCTTGTAGTGTGGTTCTGGACGATCAGTTGCTCCAATCAAAGCAGGTTTTGTTGCCCGTGTTGGTCGTAGGACTGCTGGAGCATAAGAAACTATTCCATAATTTGGTCTGTTTCAAGTGGAGTGTTGGTTGGTCAGTGCAATCTTTTCTCAAACTGGCACTTGGGTGCGTGCACTTTTTGAAAAAAGAACTGGTGGCAGTAGTAGATGGGAGTCAACTCTATTTCTTTTAATGCTCTGTTCTGTAATGGATAAGATTTGATCCCAAATTTTTATATACCACAATGATGGTTGTATAATTCTCCATCAGACTTTTGGTTTGACTACCAACTTCACTATTTCTTTCCATATTGATTAACGTAGTTCTAGCCTTTCCTTTTAATTTTTGCTTCTGGACTATGAGTAAGAGTTGGTGGTTTGTAGAATTTCTTATAAAAATTCTCCGAAGTCATTTAGTCATGAGTTGGTAGGCAAAGTGATAGGATTTGATTTTTTTAAATGATTCTAAATGAAAATGACAGAAGTAAATTTTAAAATTTAAAATGAATTTCTTCAATTTCATATAAATTTGTCTGGCCATCTGGGAATTCTTATTTTCTAATCATTTTAGAAATAATTTTTGTTTCTCTTCCAAATATGTATTAAAAATTTTATATAAATCTTTTTCACACGTGCACTGTAAAGGAATGCGTGTGGCGAGCACGTGGAGGCGTGAGGAATGCTTGCTGGGGATGGGGATGTGGATCTGGGTGGAGGTATTAATTACACCCACTAACAACATTGTATTTTTATATTTTTATTTGAATAAATAAAACGGTAAAATTTATAAATTAAAATTAAATGAAGTTGGATATTTTTCAAGTGCAAGTCTTTTATTTTCTACGTTGGCCATCTGTTTGCTATAACCGAAATTACAAGGATTAGTTTAATTGATAAAGATGTGTATTTTCTATCTTAGTTATTGAGTTCAACTTTTCAATATACCAAATCTATTAATACTATGAAAGAAGTTCTGCTCTTAAAATTATTCCAAAGTGAATTCAATTTCGACTGCGGTATAAAAACGAAAATAAAAATCATGTTGGAAAAAACATACAAGTATTTAAGTTCTGCAAAATATATTTAGATCAAATGAATACTAATAGATCATAAGAGTGCCAATTGTATATTTCTAGCTTATGAACTTAAAAGTGAACTTGACAGGAATGTTGATACAAAGGCATCTTTATATAATATTTTTGTACACACACACACACATGTCAAAATATATTCAGGAAGATTCTAACTTCAAGCTCCATCACCTGCACTATAATAAGCAAGGACTGATAAGTTTCTTAATAGTTAAAAACCCCATTTAAGACAAAAAGAGAATATGCTACACGAAAAACGTGTGAAAGTGAATTTAGGGATTTATGGTTAAAAATGGAGAACAATCTAATTTTTTATATCTAAATTAATTTATATGTATAATGATAAAAAAGACAATATAAAATATCACATTATCGAACATGTAGCATTTAATATGAATAACAATCTATCTCAATTGTAGACATTATTAAAATTAACAGTTAAGATTAAAATAATTTTTTTTTTAAAAATATAAAGATTAAAGCAATAAATACACTTTTGGTCGGTAAATTTTGACTTTTCATTACATATTGGTTTTTATTTCTATGTTTTTGTGACAAATAATCTCTAATAACTCATCACGAAAGATATCGCAAAAATTTATTGGTACATAACGTGTTTGAAGAATTCTTAATTTTTTTTTAAATTTTTGTCTCTCTTTATAACTAATAAATAATAAAAAAAATATTATAAAAGCATTTTAAAATAAGATAATAATTAAATTAGTATTTTGTAATATATATATATATATTTATATATAATTATTGCTTGGCCCGCCCATTGAAGAAAAGTCAGAAAGTGGGAAATGAGATGTTTGTTTTGAGAGCAACTCTCTCTTAGGGTTAGGTCGTACCTGTCGCCTGCTCAAAGTGAAGTTCCCAATTGACCAGTCATTTGCTATATATGCAAGCCGACGGCTTCTTACTAGTCGCAGCTTCATGGGTGCCAACTCTCTAATTTACTATTACAATTATTTCTTAATCAAAAATTACTTCTATTCAACGATTTGGTATGAAAACAAGAGAGACTAAAAAAAAAAATACTATGAAAATTCCCAAGAAGAAAATTATTAAGATATATAGATACAAATATATATATATATATATATATCAACAAATTTTCACTTGTACCTTTAAACAGTTGTAGATTTTGATTTCTGAGTCAACCTTTTAGGTATCCTCTTGAGGTGAAAATGATTGAGACCATAATTTTTACAGATCACAATTCAACAAATAAAGAATTAATACTTTCAATTATATTTTCTATTGAGGCCATTTTGCATGAACTAGAAAAGCATTGTTTTTTTGTTTTTTTTTCAAATGAGTCAAAATTGAAATTATTATTCTAAAAAGAATAATTAGAAATCAAGTGCCATAAAAACCAACTAAATAACTATGTTATATAAAAAAAAATCAGGTAATAAATAATAATTAATAATTCATAAATTTTTTTTCCAAAATTTGTTAAATAACCATTTAATTTGTTTATTATTAACAAATACTAAACCAAATACACTACTATTTTACAAAGTTGAAAATCTTCCTCCTCTCCTCTCTCTCTCTCTCTCTCTCTAATATAATACTTTATCCTCATAAAAAATCCTCCTCTCTGCAAAACCTTTGCCTTAAACTTCTTAACCGAGAAAGAGAGAGAAGCCATGGAAAGGCTTCTGTACTCTTCTTCTCCAAGCCTTTTGAAAATTCAATCAAAGCATTCGTCTTTTCTTCCTCGTCTTGGACGATGTGACTTACCAAGACTCAGTTTTTGCTCCCCAAACAGACCTGAGTGGCGGCGTGTCAACTCAATTTCGTGCAAAAACGAAAACCCTTCTCTGCCCTCGTCTTCTCAACCGAGCCAATTGAGTAATCCGGCGTTTCTGCTGTCTCCCGGTGATGACTCGCCGACTGGGTCAGCTCCGAATTCCAATATTCTTAACCAGATCGCCGAACGAGCTGTTAATCAACGAAAGGTATGGATTTTCCATTGTCACCCACGAAATCTTATACAAGTTTTTACTTCGATTTTTTTTATTTTTTTATTTCTGGGTTTCTAAGTTGGAGTTGGTAAAGATTGTAGGTTGAAGTTGCAGTTAATCGTGTTGCATTGATATTGTTCTAATCGAGTGTCATTCTTTGATTAGTTCCTCTTTGTTTTCTGAGATTATGCTAGGAGTCATTCAAAACTAGGGTCAGCTTTTTGGTTAAAAATGGGGGAGAAGAATTGAATTAAAGACTAAAATTTTGGTTCCCTTAACGTTTCTTTTGGAGGAACGAAGAGTTAAACATGGGATAATTATTAAATCTACGAATGTGTTACAAACAAAATTGTTGCAGTGCTGTGTTATTTTTCCGAAGGAGTTGGGGGATGGTGAGGAAAATGCTTCTTTTCTGGGTTTTCTTCAAGTCTATTGCTCGGTTTTTTGCTCTTACCTTGACCTTGGATTAGGAGAATATTTGTAGCTTGGGATGTTCTTTGCATTGCCTGAAACACATCTAGTCTTTTGGACATAAGATTTTGTGGTATGTTATCATATGATGTCAATACCTTAAGCAAGCATGAAGTTTGTAAGATATCTTTTCTTCTTTCAACTTTTAGCAACCTGGTTCTTAGTTCTTTTTTGGCAAATGTTAGAAGACTAGTGAAAATTTTCTGTATTCCTTGAAATCTGCAAGCTGTGTTTGGCTCAAGTGTATTTCTTCCGGAATTATGAGAACCGACTATCTCAATTGCAGCTACTAACTCCAAGGAATCCGGGGTGATAAATGCTGAAAAAATTCATAGTTCTTATTCTCTTGGCTACCATGTGAGTCATTTGCATGAAAGGAACAGAGTGGGCTTTTGAGGGTCTAGCTTTTCTTAGAGTTAAGGATTTATGGTTCCACACCTTGTGTTTTTTGTTTAAGACTCACCCTGTTGTTTCTTATGAGGATTTGGAAATCCTTATTGATATTTTGACTGGCTCTCTCTTTAACATGGGTGGTGTTTCTCCTTTTTTCCTCTTAAAAAACTCTAATGCTGCCATTGTTAACATTCATCGATTCTTCTTAGAAATCATATTTTTGATGACTACTATCATCATTTCACATCATACTTCTAATAAGCTGACAGTCACTTGAAATTGATGGTTGACTAGGCTATGAACTTGTATTACATAAAATATTGCACTATATCCCATGCCCATACATCCAGAGTTCCCACTTTCCCTCCTCTATCTTCTACCTCTTTTCTTGCTATGAGGAAATGTTTGTTTTGAGTTGTGATCTTTTCTGTATGTGAGCTTCTTAGTACACTATTTTGGGACTTCTGATAAACTATAACACGATAAGGATCTTTTGTATCCCTGTGTCTATTCAAATTTGCTGAATAAACACTATCATCCTTATGTTCATCTGTAATTCAATGTATATCAGTGCTCCTTTTGTTATTTGTGTTCTAACTGTGCTTACAGTTTTACTTGCAAATGAATGTGAACATCTTTTTCAGCTAAATTGTAGAAAGGCCTATTCATTAATTCCAAATTTTGTCTAGGATTTTGACCATTGTTCATCCGTTTCAGTAAGTTGATTTCTTGTGATAATGTTGATAATTTCATATATTTTCTTTCTGTTTCAGGCATTAACTACAGGGACATTCATGCTTCTCTCTGCTGTCATTGCATTCTTAGTCCAACCAATTTTTGCTCCAGCAGCCCATGCAGCCTTCCAAACTGCTGTAAATACTGGTGTTCCAGCAGCTGGGGGTAGACTGATCCGTACAGAATTACTAAGTAGTGCTTGGACCGGCTTCTTTGCAGGTTGCTTGCACACTCTATCAGGACCAGATCACCTTGCTGCTCTGGCTCCACTCTCAATTGGACGCACTCGAATGGAAAGTGCTGTAGTTGGTGCCCTCTGGGGTTGTGGCCATGATGCTGGTCAGGTCATCTTTGGGTTAATATTTTTACTTCTAAAGGATCGACTCCACATTGAAATAATACGAACTTGGGGCACCAGAGTGGTGGGCTTAACCCTACTTGTTATTGGTGCAATGGGCATTAGGGAAGCTCAAGAAGTTGCTGCTCCATGTGTTGCTTTGGAAAATGGTGAGTGCGATGTTAGTGTCTATGAGGCAATCGAAAACCCAACAGTAGGCAAAAAGAAGATTGGTTTTGCTACTTTCGCCACTGGGATTGTCCACGGGTTACAACCAGATGCATTAATGATGGTATTACCTGCACTTGCTCTGCCTTCTCGTTTAGCCGGTGCTGCATTTCTAGTTATGTTCTTACTTGGAACTGTGGTTGCAATGGGAAGCTATACAGTATTTATAGGATCATGCAGTCAGGCACTAAAGGACAGGGTTCCCAGAATTACTGAGAAACTAACCTGGGCGTCTTCCCTTGTAGCAATTGCTCTTGGTTTGGCCATCATTATTAGCCAGTTTTTTGGATATAGCTTGTACTAGTCATCTGACCTGCGTCATCTCTGGAAGCTACATTACTAGGGTTAGAAAAGGATCTGAGAAATGTTATTTGATTATTTTAGCAAGTTATGATACCCGAATCATTGCCATAATTAATCCTTCATGAAGCGGGATATCCATCCGGAACGGGCAATCTTGTTTTAGTGAGAATTATTATCTTTGTTTTTGTTTTTCAAAGATGTAAGTTGAATTTCAGGCAAACCATTTATGTGAGGTGTGTTCGTAATTTTTCTAAATGGTAGGCTTTCAGGTTTTAGTTATTTGACTTCAATTATCATTCCTGTTCTCACCAGCTCTACCTTAACCAAGTCTATTGCCTTGCTGCATACTGAACTTTTCTGCTTGGTTTTAGTTTCTCAAGTGATATTGTTTGCTTCTATTTTATAGTTTTGATTTTTTCTGTAAACAAGAGTTGATTCCCATCTAGTAGGCTTTACCAAAGTACACCCAATGAATTTATTTTGAGAGCTCTTCTTTTTTTATACACATAGCTATTTGTTGCTTTTCACCAAATCGTAATAAAATTTCTGCTAATTTCTGTATAACAATTCAATATCATGTGAATTGGTTTTGTTCTTTTAGAATTTTGAGAAGATTTAACTTTTGACTTGAAAGTTAATTCTCAGCCATATTTGGTGAATTCATCCAACTTCTCAAGAACTACATATTAGCATTAATTCTGTGCTAGTGTATACTTAGAATGATTTTGTAATGAACCCAGATAATTTTTCAAGAACTACATCATTCCATTAGAAATCTGTAACATTAAAATTCAACAAAATGGTATATAACATAGCGGACATCCCGATTCAGACATTTCAAGGTAAACTCTTGAAGGCTTGTAGTTCCTGTATTTGTATTGCCGATGAAAACATTAGTCATCAGCATCACAATTTAGAGCTATTACACAGTTCATCAGTTCATCAATAGCCCAAGAAGTCTCATGACACAATCATCTTTGTCATATTGCCTGTCACCCAAGCCCTCAGTTCATGGCTAAAACATCCTCCAAACTAATGAAAAAAGACAAACCTACAGGCATCTGACTCTCTCCTTTCTTTTCCTCCTGGAACATCAAACCATTTTATGGATTCCATTAGCTGCTTTTGCAATCTTTTCAATGAAAAATAAAAGTGCCAGAATTTGAACATGAGGCCATCGATGTTAAAGAGAAAAAAAATGGGAAATTTGAGGATTAGGGCTTCTGCTTTTTCTCGATGTCATAAAGCACACAAACATCTGCAGCTGTCTTCATCTGTAAAAATTAAATGAATTCAAAAAAAAAAAGAATAGAGGTAAAGATGCGATCAAAACAATCTAAAAACGTGAACATAGAAGTTAACAGATCAAACAACAATCGAAGAGAATGTTAGTGGGCCATGCAAACTAAAATTTTTATCATATTTTGAACAACTTCACGCAATCGTATTGTAATACAAGATTTGAATTGACAGATGAAATATTCAACAATGATTAAAAAATGTCCAAATATGCATGAAACTGGAACCAGAGTCGATAGCTATTTATACTATTTACAGCTAAATCCCTAGAGCACAAATTGACAATAATGCAGAAGAATCATTGTAAATTGTTATTTACCATGCTAACCAAATTTTAGTGAATAATTCCCCCAGATCACCACAGATCTTCAGCAGAAAAACAAAATACCAACACAACTTAACTGATGGACAACAAATGTATATGTGATGCATAAACACGCAATGTAGATTAGTATGATTGGGTATGGCAATCAAGTTTCACATAGATGTACACATGAAGAGCACCTTCACTGAATAGATGAAGGATGTCCTATGTCCTAGCAATTTAAGAAAAAAATTTTCCTTTCGTTTGCTGGAAGAGTATAGATAAACAATGGGTTCCTTTTAGAAACAAAAAGGAAGAATTTGGTACCTGTATAACGTTCACAGTTTGCTTGATTGCCCATCCAAATAAGCTTACAGCAAGTAAAAATGAAACTGGTGAGCCTGCTTTCATAGAAATTGTTAAAACCTGAAAGAAACAATCCAGAAACTAATAAGCAAGGAGTACACTTCTAAATGCATGATAAACAAGTATTAATGAAAAAATTATTGCTCACATCTATCAGATCTTCAGTCTGGTTCTCTGCAATTAGAAATAGGATAATATACAAAACCTGCAGACTCAACAAAAGACACTTTATCAAGAAGTAAGTCCTAGCTAACTAAAACAATTGTTTCAAGTCTTAGGAGGACTGCAGACACAATTACCTCACATGCCACACAGCAGTAAGCCATGAACATTCGGTTCCCATAGTAAGCCTTAAAAAGCCAGTTACTGCTGTCTTTTACATCCTTATGACTTGCCTTGCCCGCTAAGAAAGTACTGCAATTGAAATGTTAGCATTCCATAAACGTGCATATTTTTTAGCAAAAGGCACGGCTTTTGGCAACAAAAGTTAAAACTTCATTGATAATTCCAGTCTAAAAAGTAATATGTTAAGAGAAAATGAGTTATACCTGTACATTTGCAGCCAGTGGCTCGCAATATCTAAGGCAAGCAATGACAAGAAAACCAAGCTAGGCCTGCATGAAAGTCCTACTGAATAACTTGGATATATGTGCATCTTAAGCAATGTAATTACGACGCACATGAAAAAAAAAAAAAAAAAATTGAACAGAAATTACCAGTACACTTGGGAAAGAATAACTAGTAGACAAGCAGTGCTAATCCTGGCACAAAAGCAAAATTTATCAACACGAGGATATAAACAGAAGCTATACCTCATGGATATCAATGAAAAAAGGATATGAGATAATGTTGACATAACAATCAAAAGTAAATTTCTATCTTTTGTGTGAGAGTACGTACATGCATGAGAGAGAGCGAGAGAGAGAGAGAAAGAGATACCTATCTGTTACCATATCCAGAACAGCTCCAAAGGTTGACACTGAGCCAGGAAAAGAGATGATTATAATGCAACAGCTTAGTATTTATTTGCTCGCTGAAATATTCACAAATCCATGATACCCAGTGTTTATATTTTTTAAATACTTGTCATATTGTCTTTCACTTCTTTGTTAAAAAAGCAAAAGAGAGGAAAAAATTGATTCATCAAATCCATCACATGCAAACAACCTTTATGAAATGATCACAAATTAGCTGGTCCAGCCATTTTTTTTTTTTTCCAATTCTTCTCAAACAGGAAACAGCTTGTTTTCCTAATTAGCAAAATCTTTTTAAGTGAAGATGAAGATGACATTAGTCGCCAGGAAGACAATATGTATTCCTTTTTCTATTTACAACCACATATAGAAAGAGGACTTATAATTGGGGAGTGATGCCAATTTCATTACCCTCTTTATCTCATCTCTATGAACAAGAGGCTTCACATACTAAATGCTGCCTAGAACACAATTCCCCACACTTGTAAATTAAAAAGCGGAAGGCATTGATAGAAAACTCACGAGAGGGGATATAGAGCCAAAAACTAATAGTTTTGACAAGAATAATAATCTCAAGTCATCGTTGTTGACTTTAGTCCTAAGCGGAAAAGAAAAGAATAAAAAAGCAAAACAAAGAACAAAATTTAGCTTCAGGCAAACTTAGTATCCCGGGCACAGCTCCACATGCCTCTAAATGAATTGTATACATGAACATAGATATTAAAGAAAAAAATTAAAAACTTAATGGAGATAAAGCCAGACTGAGCCATGTGTTGAATAAATTTCCAAATGCTCATCCCTTTAAACGAATTATCAACATGAATGTAGATATTAAAGTAAGAAAAAAAAATACAAAATTTGGTTGCAATGAAACCAGACTGATCCATACCTTGATTAAATTTACGAGCACACCAACCATCAACAGCATCACAAACAAAGCTGAACCAAAGATTAATCACATTAAGCTTCATTCTAATATGCAATTGGATTCAAGCTTAAGAGTGAAGAAAAAACTTTATTAGATATTCATTCTCACCTCAAAAGGTAAAGGAGAGAAAAAAGCCTTTTATTAGAAAAGCACAGAGCAAAGCCAATGCAATTCAAGAGAACTCTTATATAACCTGTGCATTTTACACATAACCATGATCAAAACCCAAACGAATTAAGCTAAATACAAAATTAACAACACAAAAACCCACCAAAGGTTTGGGGTACATTTGCTTCAACTCCCTTCATTTTCCAACCTACGTACTAAATATTCTTAATGCACATATTTAAATTGTAATTTCATGCCAAAATAATTCCACTCATAACTCGAATTCCTTTAGATGAATTGTAACCACAAACTAATTAAGCAAGAATATGAAATCTACTTAACTCTAATTGAAAATAGAATTAAAAGACTATTCCCTTTCATCAACTGATTTATACTATATTCCTATTTCTATTCTCACGAAATTTTCATTTTTAAACCTAATGATACATCCTAACTGCTAAACAATTAATGGTATATTTAAACAAGAAAGAATTAGAAACCTACCAACGATATTGGGAATATATAGATACACAGACAACTTTCTTGGCTTTGGCTTTGACTTGTTAGCCATTTATGCTTCACTGCAGATCCCAAATTTAGGAAAACGAAGATTTTCCCGGTCAATTTAGCTTCTGCATACATTGATTTCTTCTCAAAACACACCAATCATACAAATTCGTATACACATAATATACATATATATATGTATGTATATCAATATATTGCATATAATTACACAACACACTGGAACCCGTTGCGTGAGAGAAGTTAAAGATAAAGGAAATACGATCATGGGAAACGGGTCCCTAGGCCTCCAACCAGATCTCGCCTCATCGCCATGAGAGCAACCAGATGATGGTCGGGCCAGAGGCTGACATAGCCGTGCACTGTGAAGAGTTGAGCGAACGAGAGAGAGAGAGAGAGAGAGAGAGAGAGAGTACCTTAGCGAGAGCAGGAGAAAGCTACGGAAACAAAGCGGTAATACCAGTTTCTTCTGGTTCCTTATTCGTCCCTTCAAATTCTCTCTAATTTTTGATTAACCGCAAAACATTAATTAATTACTTAATTAATTAAAATATGCAAGAAAAGATAGATTATGAAGAAATTAATATGATGCTGACAAGTACAAAAAACTGAACAACCAAAAATGTCCGAAGTTAAGAAATTATCTTATAAACTTAATTAAATTTAAGTAATTAATTTTTAATAATTGACTTCATCAAAAATTGTTTGATAATTGATAAAAATAAATAAATTAAACATTTATATAAGAATTAACTATCCTCTTTTAATAGCATAAATTCGATTTTGATGAAATTTCAATTCTTATTTTAATAACATTAAAGAAACTAACTGGGTCTGATTTTTTTTTATTTTATTTTATACCAAAGTAAGCCCAGCTTTTATATTCAAATCATGTATCCGAAGTCCATACTTGTACGCATTGGGCTCGTGGGTTTGAATGGCCCGTTATTTTTATTCATATATATATATATATATACTACAATATAATTACTTTTTTACGAAAAATATATTGAATTTATTAATAAAAAATACGAATATCTATCTTATCTAAAAATATAAAATAATTTTTCTTTTGTAAAACTTGAACGAACTCCGTTTATGTAGTTTTGGATGAGCAAACGGAGAGCTCTGCAGTCTTTCGGATAATTAACCACCGAATCGTTACGGCGTTTGGTGGAACCTCTAATGAAGCACGTGCGGCCCATTCAGTCTGTTGGGCTTAACCATATCTTCTCTCAAATTTCGGTAATTATCACTTTACCAATAATATGTATATAAACAGATAATTGATATATAGGACAATAACAAATTTACCTGTTATCTAAATAATTACGGAATAAATTCATAATTTATGTAAAAATTATTTGTAAATTTATAATTTCTTTTGACTATGTATACAGAATTTATTACAAAATTGTAAATTTAATTTTTTAAAACAAACAACAGATTTGACTGATATATATATATATATATATATAAATATAGAAAAATAATTAATTTTTTGGAAAATAAATAATTAAAAAGGACCGGATATGATGCAAAAACACAACGAAGTGGCGGAGAAAGAAAACGAGACATGTACGGACAGAGGAATCGGGCGGGAAATAAGGAGGGAGGGTCCCACTGCACGATGTGCGTCCGTCCGATTTACATCATGTTTCCGCCAATTAACACTGTTTATTTATTTTTAATTACCCAATTATCAGAAGGCTACTGCAGAGTGTTGTTTTCTTAAACCACTAATTAATTAATATATTTATCGAAAACATCGTAATTAATCTGAATAAAAATTTTGCTTATCATTAAAGAGATGGATTAACTACTAAGTGACCTATTATTTCGCAGCTGTGATCTGCAATTGGCACCTTCTCGTTACTTTCCTTTTTATGATTAGGAGGAAAACAAAAAGATTAAAAGCAAAAAAATAAAAAGAAAAGGACAAAATCATAATTAATCACGTTGTAGACTTGCAGTCTATAGAGAATAACTTGTTGGTGTGTGAACACAGAGCAAACAGACAGATTATATAATCAGACACTGCTCGAGGGCAAACCTACAATTTTTTTAAAAAAAATTTTAATTTTAATAAACTTGATTAAACAAGAAAAATCTGAGGTGAATAATCAAATCAATCACCCACATACCAAAATTTCAAGAACCAAATCAATAAAACCTTAAAAAAGGTTGAGGACAAAAAAGCCAAGAAAGGAAAAGATGCTCCCCCCACTGTAAAAATTCCTGTTCAGTTGATTTGGTTTCTTTTGTTTTGTTAAAAAGTACAGAATTAAGTCATTAAACCAAACAGACCCAGATTAAGAAAAAAAAAAAAAAAAAAGTTATTAAATTTACCAGTTTGGTCTATGAACCCTAAAAAGATCAGGGGAGTAGTCTGATTCTGCTTTAAAATGGTCGCATAAGAATACACTTGTAATCAAAAATTAATAAAATAATTAATAACAATGCTAAGCATCCACATGGGTCACAGTCGATCAACCATTTTGGTGAAGAAATCCAATAACTTCTTTTAACTTTTTTTTTTTTTTTCCTTTGTTTTTACTCCACTTTCCTGGAAATTTTTTCCTAAAAAATCAAGGCTTCAATGCTAGCCTTCTTGGGTGTTCTACATACAGGGCAAGAATCAAGAAAAGCCTCACAATTTCTGCACGAACAAAGGTGTCTACAAGGAAGGAACAAGACGCACGATTCCCGAGAATTACAGCTTCTGCACACCATTGTCGTCTTCCTCCTACTTCCATCTTCGTCTTCTTCTTCCACCACTTTCTCTTTCCCATCCAAACACGGAACTCCTCTGTTTTGCTCAGTTTCTTCCGTGTTCAAATCGCAGCAAGACTCCGCGTCTTCCGCTCCTCTATTGACGCAGCAACAAGCTCTCTCTCTCATTTGCTCCAGTGCGCTGTTGAGAGAGACGATCATGGCTTCGTTCTCTTGTGCCACTCTCTGCCATGACTGGTTCTCCATCTCAAGTCTGTGAAGCAAATTCTCAAGCTCCATTGATTTGTTAACCGCTTTTGCAATCTCCTCGTCTTTTCTTCTGAACATAATAGATGCATTTTCCTCGATTTTCTTTACAATCGCTGAAAGTTGTTGCTTCCTCTGTTCTTGCAATAGAACCCGTAATCTATCGTTCTGGTCAAAAAGCAGAGGGAGACGCCATTAATACAACACAAAAAAACCAAGAAATTCTAACTTAAAATTTAAGAAGATAACTCATCCTCCATTGGCATCTTAACGGAAAAGGGATTCTGAGTTTTTAATGAAACACAAATTAGAGATGATCGAAAATTAAGTGTACCTGCAATTTGATAAACTGGTCGATTTCCTGCCCCTGTTTTTCAAAATACGCAGCCATGGTCTGAGAAAACCCAACCGACTGTTGTTGATTGCTGGTGTTGTTTTTCAAATGAAGAGGACTAACAATGAAACCGTCATCACAGAGCAGATTCTGTTGATTTCTATGCAACCGCTGGGTCTGCAATTGCTGCATCTGTTGCTGTAATTGTTGTTGATACGGTTGTGGCTTCTGTGGAAGATCAAAACAGACTTGATTAAACCCACCGCCACCCCCGGCACCGCAGCCGTTGTCAATCCAAGCAAAATCCGGCGACCCACCGCACGACTGAAACCCAATGTTCTCTGAATATAACTGCGCCTGTATCGCCATTACTATTATAATAATAGCTTCGTAACCGACACAAAAATTCAAATCCACACCCAAACTCAAAAGGCGAAACCGAAACGAAGCCTTCTCTTAAAAGCACAAACCGAAGATCAAGAATCCAAACGGCTCATCTTCAAATCAGAGGAAATACGGAAACCAATATCCTTAATCTTGCTCTTCTCGTTACTGTTCTTATTTCCGCTGGGTAATTGTGGCGACGAGAAAGAGGAGAGGGAAACAAAATGAGGTGGGAGGGGGGGTAATGGCGTAGGTGTATATTTATATGGGTAGATATAAGAGTAAAAGCCAGAGAGAGAGAGAGGGGTGGGGTGATGCGAAAATTAAAGAAGAAAAAATGGAAAAAGAATTGAATTAAAGTAACTGAAAAACTTGAAAAGGAAAGGAAGAAAGAGAGAGAGAGAGAGAGAGAGAGAGAGAGAGAGAGAGAGGGGTAAGGCAGAGGACGTACACATGCAGATTTTGTGACTAAACTATCGGGTCAGAGATATCAGAGGCGTTTGTTTGTTTCCTCTGATTTGAATAAAGAAAATTTTTCAATTCCATGTGGAATTGTTTTCAAGATTTATTTTCTTTTTTATTTTCCCGAACAGCAAACAGAGAGAGAGAGAGAGAGAGAGAGAGAGAGTCTGAATTGGTCAGTTTTTTTTATTTTAATTTTGGGTTGGGGGGGGGGAGAGAGAGAGTCAGAGATATGTCAGTTTAGTCATTTAGAAAGAAAGCCCGAATAATAGGATTCATTTATTTATTTATTTTTTGGGAATATAAATTTATTTTATTATTTAATGCGTGTAACCTCCAATGCTTTAACAATTCTTGAAATTGCTATTTTTGTTTGCTTTTATTTTTTAAGAAAAATAAAAAAAAAAAAAAAAAAAAAACTCACATTAAATGACGTGTTTGACTTTTAATTAATTTGGTCAAAGATATTAATCGAGATTATTTAGTGGTTTGTTTTTGCCATAATCTTTTCTCATGTAAATATTATTGATTTTGTTTTGGTCTCAATAATGTGAGACAGCCTTGATAGAGGTGTACCCCCCAATTAATGTGGATTTCACATTTAATTAGGATCAAATTATATACACACACACACACACATATATGTCAATAAGTAAATATTGAATGTCTAATATTGTTACTTTTACAAATTGGTTTGATAATATTTTTGAACCAAATTAATATAATGTGATACAACAAATAAATAATAGTAACAAAATCTTTTTTTTTAAAAAAAATTTTGGATTTTTACAACAAATATTCATATATATATATATATGTGTGTG